AAGTTCTCGTTCCAAAACTGATCGTCTCACAGCTAAGTCGATCACGTCCTGTAATTTGCATAGTTTATGTGGCAATAATAGCTTCTGTATAGCTACGCTGTTCAGCCCGTCCAAAAATATGTCCGTAAGACTTCTTTGAATTAATTCCTGATTCATTTGGTGTGGGGGAATCGCTATTTCCGCTAGACGGATTAGATGATCTGCATAAGTTCGTATTTCTTCCCGTTGATTTTGACAGAAACTGTTTAACTGTCTATCTGCTATTAAGCCATGCAACGGGTCTCTAAACCGTGAGCATAAAGCTTCATAGAAACTCTTGTAAGAAATTTCGGGAGTCTCCGAGAGTAAACGGCGCGTAAAGTCAGCAGCAGGTCCGTGCAATGTGCTTATAGCAAAATTCATGAGATCGCTATCAGATAATTTTAATTGAATTTGAACCCATGATAAGGCTGCATGCCATTGTATAAAGGTGGGTCCTAATGTACGTTCCTGCAGTTGTTCCCCCGAAAATTTTGGCATTTCTCGACGCAATTCCGAAACTCGTGCGATATGAGCAAAACAGTTTACCACACTGTCAAGTGATGGCTTAACTCCTTCAATAAAAACACGTGCCATCGTTTCTATGGTTAAATCCGTCATGGCGAACGTAATAAAACAATAGGATGTTGAGCGTGGTGGAGGGGCAGTGGAGGTAGAGTTATATAGGTAGGGAAAGGACTCTCGTACCTTTAACTTCAATAACGAAATCTATCTATGCCGACACAAGAATTTGTTTCACTCACCCCTCTTTGTTACCTCCGCCCAACGGAGTTGGGAGGAGGTTATGTTTTCGCTCTCGTGTGTTAGTGTGTTCGCGCAATCGATATTAGCGCGTCAGCCAGCGAGCCAGCGAGTGGGAGTACATGTCAGTATGCTGGCGTATATCGTGAGTTATTCGTGTGTTCGTGAGTCGTATGGCGTATGTCGTTGGCAGAGGTATGCACTCTCCGTGAGTGCACTCTGTCTAGTTAAAGCTGTGTTGAGCTTGAGCTCGAAAAGTTTGAAGCACGTTCTCTCTGTCGAGGTCGTCAGCTGTTCGTTCTGACGCTTGCTAGCTGGCTTGCTTGCTGTTATTTATCGTCTTTGGTTGCTAGGCGACGGCTGTTGGTCGGATCAATACTTCAGCGTGATGCGCCTGTCGCAGCGTGATATCGTATGCTAGCAATCTTTGCTGCCTCACTTGCTCGATAGCCAGGTTGTACTTATGCGAATGTTCTGTCTTATATATATATGTGCGTTCTCTGTCGCATCATATCACTGTTCGTATGCATTTCCCTATGCAATGCCCGTATGGCAAAACTCTGCATAACGAATGTGACCATCACTGCAGAATCTGCCAAGCATCTCAATGTTGATTTCTTTATTTTCTTTCTTCCTCTTCTTCTTCTTCTTCTTCTTCTTCTTGCGTTGTCTTTACTCAGTTTTCGGCGCGTGCATCATACACGGTAGATTCGTCTTCTTGCGTTGTGTTGCAAAGGAATACTCAGTTCTTGTGGTCCGGCACCAAATGTAGCCCTTGTATTCTGTAGTTACTTTATCTCCTCGGTCGGTGATTGTAGCCATTCATGATCGAAGAGGTTGTGTAGATTATATATGATTTAGACGTCTTTATTTGAATGCATATATGTTGCATCGTACATGAACCGCCCCGTTCGCCTAATCCCACCACCCTTATATTCGGCCGCGCTTGTTGTCCGACCTCACGACTTGTCCAGCTTTGCCCGGGCTGGCTTCCGCGCTCCCGGGCACGTCGGTGCGTTAGCTGCAGGTTATAATATGTCCTTTATTACTTCCCTTATTACCCCCTCTGATCGTCATTTCCTCATATATTTTGCGCTGGTTGTCGCCAACACCACTCGTTTATTATCGCCTCTATCTAGCCGTAATTAATACACGCCGCTTATTACGACGTTGCATCATCTCCCGTGCTTGTGGCGCAATAACAATTCTCGTCGCCACACTTATTTTTCTTGTAGGATAGATTTACTGTCTCCAAAGTGTAAAGTAACCAAAATAAGTACACAAAAATGAAATGAAATGAGTTATTTCATCAAATTTTGCAAATTTTATTAAACTGACTATTGCGAGATTTTTGCTCAGAAACGCTCAATCCGAAAAAATATAGCGAAATATGGCAGATATGTGGCGCTATTAGCTGAGAAGACCTAGAGTACCTACATAAAGAGAGTAGCGACATAGGGGACCGAAAATATGGGATCACGTGACAACAGGCGCCATGTTTTAGCCAGCTAGAGCATTCGCGAGCTCGATCGTCGCTGTAGTTTTGCAGTGAATCAATTTGTGAGCAAGAAAGGAATGACAAAATACCTAGTTGTTGTGCCTTTGCCTGCAGCAATAGGGGAGGGAACAGGTACAAAATGTATAAGTTCCCTGCAGATTCAAAAAACGGAAGATTTGGGATAATAAAGTGAATACAGAATAGATTGGGATGGAAACCGACTTCGGGATCATTTTTGTGCCATGTAAGCAGCTCTCAAACTAGAAAGTAGTAGTAGTACTAGTACTAGAGAGTAGTAGTAGTATACTAGTACTAGAGAGTAGTAGTAGTACTAGTACTAGAGAGTAGTAGTAGTACTAGTACTAGAGAGTAGTAGTAGTATACTAGTACTAGAGAGTAGTACTAGTACTAGTACTAGATAGTAATAATAGTACTAGTAATAGAGAGTAGTATTAGTACTAGTAGTAGTAGTTCTAGAGGCTATAGCTCTACAGTTGCCGCAGGCAGCGACCAGATAGACTGGTTCGCGCTCGACAGTTCCACTCGCATTACACTGACGTCGCGTGGAACTGTCGAGCGCGGACCCGTCTAATAGTAGTAATACAAAGATAACGGCTGCCTCGGAACGTCTAGGTTTTTCATCTATATTTCTTTTCAATAACATCGTACTTCAATTCACAGGTGCTTTTCTGTTTATAGAAACATTTATAAATATGATTGTGCTAATTTGGGATATTGTGCAATGTTTGAGTTAATGCAGAAAGTAAAAACGCCAGACCTAATTTGCGTACAGTATAACTAGTATGCGCGGTTGCGCGCGCGGTCTATTGGCTAAAACATGGTGCCTGTGCTGAAGTTGTCGCTACTCTCTTTATGTAGGTACTCTAAGAAGACCTATCGGCACTAGTCCTAAGATTACAACAAACGTTCGTTTGCCAAACTAGTTCGAAAATTGCATGTTTTGGTGAATACGAAGGTTCTAAGACATTTTATCGTTACTCTAGACAATTGCTGTTACTCTAGCAATAACGGTAAGTGTCGTAAAAGTGGGGAAAACACTGGAGAATTATCGTAATTATTACTTTAAATTAAAGTAAAGCAACAACAATTGCCTATAGATACCTCTTGCTTATATATAGTCTCTCACTTCTTCTAGATATTTCAATCAACAAATCACTATAGTGATTGACTTTAGAAATGTCTGAGCGTAATGTTGCCGTTACCGTGGTGATTTGGTCACGTGACTCCATCGAGTTCACGTGTATCTATACTCTGAAAAACCTGCAACACACTAACATTTTGAAAAGTTTACTCTTTGTTGTGTAGTCCTGTCTTATTAAGTATAACTCGTGATTTTTAGTGACATGCCCGCAGCAAACGAATCTGACTTCATCTCTTTGTGAGGGCAGTGGAAGTTATCCGGGGTCTCTATTTTTGTCCGCAGGAAAGCGGACGACTGAGAGAGGAACCTGCATCGGGGAGGAAAGTGGGAGAGGAAACTACATCGGGGAGAAATCGTGATCTCGATCACCGCCCGCTCGATGGAACCTTCTTCTCTTTCTTCTGCTTCTTCTCCTGCTCCTGCTTCTTCTGCTCCTCCTCTGTCTTCTTCTCCTGCTTCTCCTCCGTCTTCTTCTCCTCCTCCTTTTCCTCCTCCTGCTCCTCTTTCTCCTGCTTCGTCTCCTGCTCCTCCTCGCTCGGACGTGCAGAGCGAAGCGGGGGAGAAACCGTACGCGTGTGACGTGTGCGAGTACAGGACGTGCTCTCGCTACATGCTGAGGACTCACATGCGAACGCACATGGGAGAGAATCTGTACGCGTGCGATACGTGCGGGTATCGGTGCTCTCGGCTCAGTGGCTTACAGGCGCACGCACGCACGCACACGGGAGAGAAACCGTACGCGTGCGATGTATGCGAGTACAGATCCTCGCAGCTCGCGCATCTCCAGAGACATGCGCGCACGCACACAGGAGAGAAACCGTACGCCTGCGATGTATGCGAGTACAGGAGTTCTCAGCTGGGGAATCTCCAGACCCATGCGCGCACGCACACGGGAGAGAAACCTTACGCGTGCGACATATGCGGCTCCGCCTATACCACCTCCAGCGACCTCAAGAAGCACTTTCTCATGCACACGGGCCAGAAACCGTACGCGTGTGATGCGTGCGAGTACAGGACTTGCTCCCACTCCAGCCTGAAGACTCACATGCGAACCCACACGGGCGAGAAACCTTACGCGTGTGACGTGTGCGAGTACAGGTTTTGCTACCGCGAGAGCCTGAAACAGCACATGCGAACGCACACGGGAGAGAAACCTTACGCGTGCGACATATGCGGGTACACCTACACCAGCTCCAGCAACCTCAAGAAGCACTTTCTCACGCACACGGGCGAGAAACCTTACGCGTGCGACGCGTGCGAGTACAGAACTTGCTACCACGACAGCCTGAAAAAGCACATGCGAACGCACACGGGCGAGAAACCTTATGCGTGTGACGTGTGCGAGTACAGGACTTGCTCCCGCTACATGCTGAAGAGGCACGCGCTCACGCACACGGGAGAGAAACCGTATGCGTGCGATGTATGCGGCTACACCTACACCACCTCCGGCAGCCTCAAGAAGCACTTTCTCACGCACACGGGGCAAAAACCTTACGCATGCGATGCGTGCGAGTACAGGACTTGCTACCGCCACAACCTGAAAAAGCACATGCGAACGCACACGGGAGAGAAACCGTATGCGTGCGATGTATGCGGGTACACCTACACCACCTCCAGCAGCCTCAAGAAGCACTTTCTCACGCACACGGGGCAGAAACCGTACGCGTGTGACATCTGCTCTTTCAGGTTCGTATCCTCGAGCGAGCTCTCGAGACACAAGCGCACGCAGTCGCACCGAAGAAAGGCCATGCACAAGCAATCGGGAGTGATGTGATGGACGGGTCTGCGGGTTAAACAGCTAATTCGTCAGACGTTAAACGTGTGGATACGGATGCACTCTCTCCAGTAGACTCCAGTGACGTAGACTCAGGCTTGTATAAGAGGAAATCCTGAAAGGCGATGTGCATGCAATCAGGGGTGATGTGAATGACATTCTACCGATTAAACAGTTAATAAGCCAGTTCGTAGTTACGCACTGGAGCCCTATGACGTCATCGGGTCATAGGTCATTTGTACATAGCTGAAAAGTTCGCTCATACGTGTAGCGTTGGATCTACGCTCGTAGACAGTAGACGTAGATAGACGAAGTAACGAGTGATGTAAAC